GACAGGGTCTGGAAATGTAATTGGTTTCTTGAGGCTAAAATTTATGTATTTGGTTTTCTCAGCACTCAGCACCAAACGATTAACAGTGAACCACCATTTCAATAACTCAAGATCTCTGTCCATTGCCTTCTGAACCGACTGCCAGTTACTTTCAGAGTAGCACAATGCTGTATCATCAGCAAATGAGGTTAAACTACCATGAAATTTACCCTCACACAGGTCATTAATATATATGATGAATAAAATTGCCCCCAATACAGATCCCTGGGGTACACCACTTTTAATAGTTCCCATATCACTTATGATTGAATTAATTTTGACACACTGTTTCCTGTCTGAGAGATAGCTTTTAAACCATTCATGGGCAACACCTCTAATTCCAATATTGAACAGCTTATTCAACAGCAGTGTGTGGTCGACTGTATCAAACGCTTTTTTTATATCAAGAAAAAGCCCACTAACTTTTTTACCCTCATTCACACCTTCATTAACCCCCATCATAAAATTTAACAAAGCATGTTCAGTGTTCATGGCAGTTCTGAATCCAAATTGATTCTTGCTAAAAAATTTTGTTTGATCTAAAAATGATAGTAATTTGTTCTTCATGATCTTTTCGTATATCTTAGAAAAACAAGACAACAGAGATATCGGACGATAATTACTAGATTTTGTCTTCAGCCCACTCTTAAAAATTGGTATTACTACTGCATTTTTTAGTCTTGAAGGAAAAACACCAGTTGTTAAACTTAAATTAATTAAAAATAAGAGAACATTCTCAATTTCTGGTAAAATTTCCTTAATTAAACTTGTATTTATGCCATCAATTCCAGGAGATGTATTATTTTTTAAGCTTCTTATTACGGTATTAAGATCTGCTGGCAAAACAGGGCCAATAAAAATTGTTTTGACTTGAAATGATTGGGAAAAACTGTTTTTGTATTCCAGGGAAAGAAGATTTCCAACAAAATTAAGATCATTCATTTTTAGGTTTTTAACAATATCTAAAAAATACCTATTAAATTCATTTGCCACTGCTAATGAATCATCAATCAAAATATTATTTACTTCTAATCTAAGAACTTCATCTTTTTTCTTGGACTGACCAGTCAGCTCATTCAATAGTTTCCAAGTTTTCTTGGAATTACCACTACAGCTTTCAAAACTTTTTTTGTAGAAATCGTCTTTCAATTTTTTAATTTCATTATGAAGGGCATTTCTATATTTCTTGTAGTATTTTTTTAGATTCTCATTGTTTGGATGGCGCTTCATAAGCTTAAAATATGATTTCTTTTCTTGATTTTTAAGCACATAAAATCGTTCATCCATGGTTTTATTTTACTGGAAACTTGTTTGTTACAATTTACTATTTCTTTACTTCGCTCTATAAAACCTTGTAACAAATGAAAAAAATTGTCAAACGCAATTGAAGCATCTGTAGCTTCATATACACTAGTCCAATCGGCTTCAGCTAACAGCTGTCTCAGTCTCAAGTAGTCCGTGTGCCACCGTTGCAGGGGGGCGGGAGGGGGACCTCCATTGTCCTTCCCCGCAACGCTGACCACGACTCTTATCAGACAATGATCGCTGATATCAGCTTGGACGACTGTTGCTTCTACCAATACTTTGATCTTTTCCTTAACTCTGACAAAAACATGATCTATACATGTTTCAGATTGTTCTGTGATTCGTGTTGGCTCATTTATTAGACTCTCAAAACCATTACTTGCTAAAATTGTTTTATACGTATCAGTGTTAATGCAATTATCGAGTAAATTAATATTTAAATCCCCTACCAAAAAAAAGTTATTAAATGACCTAAACAAATTTTCTTTATTGCTTAAAATAAATCTAAATTCATTATTAAACAATTCAATAGGAATAAAACTGAATCTATAAACAGCTAAAATATAAAATTGTTGTTCAAAAGCTTTAAAAGAAACAAGCACAGTATCAGACGTTTGTGATTCAAATTGAAGATTATTAATATCCACTAATGAATCTTTTAAATATACAACAATTCCTCCAGCACGATAATCATCACTACATTTTGCATACATTTTATAATTTGATATTTCATAGAGACTAATTTCATTTGAATTTATCCAAATTTCTGATAAAACAATTACCTCTGGGAAATGTGTGTAGCTCGATAATTCCGCAATAAAAAAGTCAAAGTTTTTCCTGAGACTCCTAATGTTTTGATGAATAATTACAATTGTACTATTTGAAATTATTTCTTAAAAGTATATGACATTTAAATAATAAAGCAATAAAACTAAGACTAATTATAAATTTATAAAATCCTACAGGCACAGACATAAGACATTGTTATATACATTTTGTATATAACAAATTTACCAGTTTTGCATAAAAGAACTGTGAAAAGTGCATTTAGTCAATTACAAAAGTATTTAACAATAATATCTATGAATGGAAGTGATAAGGAGTACTTTAAACAATTTTTTCTAAGTCAGCCTGGCAAGTCACCTGAATAACAGTCGATCCGTCGTCCCTGCGCAGAAATATTTTCCCGCCACGAACCCATAGGTGTCGAAAGTTCTTATCTTTCCTCACTTGCCTCGCCGCCCCTAGAAGTCGCCGCCTCGCCGGTGTCAGAGCTTCGTTGACGTACACTGCCTGGTCCATTGGCATATCCATGTGTCTTGTAGAGAGATTCCTCTTCACACGTCGTTTTCTTAGGAACTCCTCTTTGTCCAGTCGCCGCACAAACTTGACGATGATACCAGGTGGAGCGTTGTTCGGCCCCGGTTTGTTGCCCAAACGATGACAAGCGTCAATCATAGATTCCTTCACCTCAATATCCAGGGCTCGGCCTACTGCCTTCACAACTCCTATGACATCCTCGTTAGGCTGTTGCGGGACACCGTGTATTTCGACTGCATTTAACCTAGAGTATTGTTCCATTTCATCAACACGCTTTTCAAGTTCAATAACTTTTTTATTTAGTAGTTGATTCTCTGCGACCAGCGTATCAATAGTTTTCAAACATCTATCCAATGAGATCTTCTGTTCTTTAACATATTTAGTGTTTTCATCAATTTTGTCACTCAAGAGTTCATTAGACTTATTTACGTTTTGTTCAATCAACTTTTGATTCTCACCTATCTCTATGATTTTTTCCATAACGTCCTCAAGAGAAAGCTTACCCTCTTGCACGTCAGATTCAAATCGTAGACTCTTCCTTCTTGTATCTCCACACGGCTGACACCTCCAAACCATTCCTTCGGACGTGATACAGTCTACATCAGCCTTGCTCATCTTCAGACAGCTGCCGTGGAACTCTCTCTCACAATCACAACACTGTAGCTTAATCACGTTCGCTTTTATCACTTTTAAGCATATATTACAGTTAACCATGTTAAAAAAACCAAAAAGAAAACACGTGAAAATAAAACTCCGCCAATATCTCACAAGAAACACGTCATAGACGAGTGACTGGCACGTGTTTCGCGAAATTAAAACTCCGCCAAACTCAAGAGACCGGAACACTATCGCTGAGGTCCTTCTTATCTGAGCGCTCGCTCATCTCTGAAATAAGTAGTCAAAGCGAGCTGTCTGAAGTGTGGGAACTGTTAATGACGATTAGATTATGGTATTTGCAATCCTAAAATGCTATGGGAAGGGAGTAAAACAGGTCCGCGATGTAGGAAGTGGTGAAGGAAGTAGTCAAGACGTGTCGTCCAGAGTGTGGGAACTGTTTTTGACGATTAGATTAAGGTATCTGGAATCCTAAAATGCTATGGGAAGGGAAGGAAACAGGTCCGCAACGTAGGAAGTGGTGAAGGAAGTAGTAAAGGCGAGTAGTCCGGAGTATGGGGACTGTTTATGACGATTAGATTAAGGTATCTGCAATCTTAAATGCCGTGGGAAGGGAGGGAAACAGGTTCGTAAAGTAGGAAGTGATGAAGGAAGTAGTAAAGGCAAGTTGTCCGGAGTGTAGGAACTGTTTATGACGATAAGATTAAGGTATCTGCAATCCTAAAATGCTATGGGAAGGGAGGGAAACAGGTCCGCGACGTAGAAAGTGGTGAAGGAAGTAGTCAAGGCGAGCTGTCCGTAGTGTGGGAACGGTTTGTGACGATTAGATAAGGGTATTGGCAATCATAAAATGCTATGGGAAGTGAGGGAAACAGGTCCGCGAAGTAGGAAGTGGTGAAGAAAGTAGTCAAAGCGAGCTGTCTGGAGTGTGGGAACTGTTTTTTACGATTATATTAAGGTATCTGCAATCCTAAAATGCTATGGGGAGGGATAAAAACAGGTCCGCGACGTAGGAAGTGGTGAAGGAAGTAGTCAAGGCGATCTGGCCGGAGTGTGGTAACTGTTTGTGACGATTAGATTAAGGTATTTCCAATCCTAAAATGCTATGGGAAGGGAGAAAAACAGGCTCGCAACGTAGGATGTGGTGAAGGAAGTAGTCAAGCCGAGCTGTCTGGAGTGTGGGAACTGTTTATGACGATTAGATTAAGGTATATGCAATTTTCAAATGCAATGGGAAGGGAGGAAAATAGGTCCGCTTCGTAGGAAGTGGTGAAGGAAGTAGTAAGGCTAGCAGTGCTGAGCGTGGGAACTGTCTGTGGCAATTACATTAATGTATCTGCAATCCTAACATGCAATGGGAAGGGAGGGAAACAGGTCCACGATGTAGGGAGTGCTGAAGGAAGTAAAGGCGAGCAGTGTGGAGTTTGGGAATGGATTTATGTATCTGCAATATTAAGACTGCTTTTAGAGCAAACTAATGATTTTCCCGAGCAAAGCTCGGTCCCCAGGTGAGCAAAGCTCGGTCCCCAGGTACTAGGCTTTAAATTGAGCTATTGATTGTTTGAACCAGTCAAGCTCAAGATACTGTATTACTCAATCAAAAATCATAAATTTGAATATTTCTTGGGTCCTCTAGTAAGTATAACTTAAGATCGTATCTCAATAGGATTAGAAATCCAAGAATAAACGTGTACGTAATTCTTATCCCCTTTGATGCACAGGAGCTACTTCCATTGGTAAAGAAAGCAGCCCTGTCGAGCAGTGGAGGCATAAGTATTGATAGAGCTGCCTTGGTGTACATGTCCTCAGTGTTGGGCTCTGTGAAGAGCAACGAAGGACCTTACGGGGGAGGATACTGGGGCTACAGGGAAAGCAAGGTAAACTACTAGACATTATACAGACAGGGTCACTAGAACAACTTAATAACTTCAAAACAAAAGGAAATATCACAACCAAATTTGACCTGTCACTGGTAATAGTAAGCTACTTTTTTGTGTACATGGTGATCAGATGTCATCTATGGCGGACGGTCCATAGGGAGTAAGATGAAAATTTTAAAGGTAAGCATAGGTTGATATGTACATCAAATTTAAGGTCTTGTTGAACTTAAAACAATGCTGCCAAATGGAAAACTGAATCAAAAATGACAACCATTCAAAAATTTCTTGAATTTTCCATGTTGAATGTAAACGGCTTCCATTTTTTACTCAGTTATCTTTTTGAGCTCAAATTTGCGGCATTGTACGATACTAATGAAGACCTTTAATTTAATGTGCATTTCAACCTATGATTACGTTTATGATTTTCTTCCGTCTTATAGCGGGCCCTTAGGTCCTGAGGAGGTAGCGTATATTATTATTATCATAAACTCAATCAATCTTTGAACAGCTGTCATTTTTACTCAATTGTTCATTTGAGGTTCAGTTGGTGGCATCTATATATTAATTACGTAAGCCGATTCTTTGCATCAAAATTGTGGGCAAATAGGAAGTCGTAGAATGACAGGAGAGGGCTCAAATTAAAGGTCTCGATCCCGTGACGGCAGGAAAAATAGTGAAATTCCCAAAACTTGAACACAAAATTAGATATAACGTAAAATGTTCTCCATAAGAATAGCATTAGAAGCCGTTTACTGCTGATTTTTGTTTACTTCATTACAGCTGATCGTGATTTATCAGTAAGCCAATAAGCAATATTACATTTGGATTACTTTGCCAGTAAATGTACTGTATACTATATAAAACCAGGGATAACGTTACCTATAATAATTAAGACTTTTTAGTCACGTCAAAGAAATTTGAAATCAATTGTTTTACTGTAGAATTTGCAAACTTGTGTATTTTTAAGTAGGTAAATTAAGTAAAGTTAAGCGCATGATAAGTAGTAGAATCATTGGAAACTAGGCGAAACCCGTCGAAATCTACGGTTACTTTCAAGGCTTACGCTAATTCATCTACGGAAAGTTAGGTGTAGTGGAATATTTTTAATATATTTTATTTTTCGTCACTCTTTTCAATATCTAGGACCAAAATACTATAATTATCTACCACTTCAAATAAAGAATAGTTTAAATTTAAAGCAGTTTAGCAAAGCAAAGATAATTTGGCTTTCTTCTCAGCAGGACATAAATTATATCAATAATATCCTGTTGTAATACTTTCAAAATTCATGTTTTCGGCCCCTGGACTATATTGTTAAGACAATGATAGGTGTTTTACATACCTCAGTCAAATTGTCCAATAAATGATATTGCTCAACAGCTTACATGTTTTGTTGCAAAGACAAAGCTTGCAACTTGTCAAAAACACATTTAAAACACGGACACGAACACAGAAAACATTAATACGGTACGAATACACGATAGACATTTAGATAGCGCTATCATAATACTGATTTGGTCCGGCGCGGCACGGGGTTGGTAGCAGACTGGAGGTCTATGTCACTATTGGAGGTCTATATTAATGTTTTCTGTGTTCGTGTCCGTGTTTCAAATGAGTTTTTGACGAGTTTCAAGCTTTGAAAATGTTGTCTTCGCAACGAAACATGTAACCTGTTGAGCAATATCATTTATTGGACTATTTGACTGAGGTATGTAAAAAACCTATTATTGTCATAAAATTAAAGCCAAACACTGAACCGTACCCTCTCAAAGTTCCAAGGCGTGTTCCCCTACCCTATAAAGATGCTGTAAAAAAGAACTGGATGCAATGTTGGATAAAGGTGTTATTGTGAGAGTAGACACTCCGACTGACTGGTGTTCACCTCTTGTCATTGTCCCTAAAAAGGACAATTCAATAAGACTTTGCGTAGATTTTACTAAACTTAATGAGAGTGTTAAACGAGAACTATATCCTGTGCCCTCTGTAGATTACACTCTGGGAATATTATATGATGCTAAGGTGTTCTTGAAACTAGATGCTAACTCGGGTTATTGGCACATACCCATAACAGAAGAAGCTTCATATTTTACTACTTTCATCACACCTTTTGAAAGGTTCAGATTTTTACGACTTCTTTTTGGGATTTCCACTGGTTCAGTATTCCAGCGTCAAATGTCTGAATCACTTGAAGGGCTTTAAGCTGTTGTTTGCCATTTCGATGACATAACTATATACTGGAAAGATATGGAAGAACATGACAAAAATTTACATAGTGTTTTGTGTAGGCTCCAGGAAAAGGGCTGGACACTTAATAGATCAAAATGTGTGTTCCGGCATGACAGTATCAGTTTACTAGGCCACCTTGTAACTAAAAATGTTATTAAGCCAGATCCCTCTCGTGTTGAGGCTATCCAGAAACTCAAGACGCCAACTAATGTTAAAGAACTAAGAAGAACTCTAGGTGTTGTCAATTACGTAGCCAAGTTTATTCATAATTTGTCAACCATAGTTCATCCACTACATGCTTTACTGCTAAGAAATACAGAATTTGTTTAAGGGGCCTGATCAAGACCAATCTTTGGAAAAGATTAAACTGTCATTGATGTCCGAACCGTGTCTCGCTTTATACAGCATGTCTAAAGAAACCTTCCTCAGCGGATTCATCGTCATACGGTATTGGAGTTGCACTACTTCAGCTTCAAGAAGATGGAACTAAACGTCCTGTGGCCTATGCTTCGAGAAGTTTGTCATCAGCCGAACGTAATTGGGCTCAAATAGAAAAAGAAGCTCTAGCGATTGCATGGGGGTGTGAACGATTTGAACACCTCATTTTAGGGTTGCATTTGCATATTGAGACTGACCATAAGCCCTTGCTCTCCATATTCAAGATAAAAGACTTGGACAATATTACTCCCAGGCTTCAGAGAATACGACTCCGACTGATGAGATATACATATGATATTACCTACACGCCCGGTAAACATTTGATTTTGGCTTATGCACTGTCTCGAGACACAGAGAACTCTGAAGAGGAATGGGAATTTACAGAGGAAATCCTTGCATATATACAAAATATTGACACTACTCTACCATCAGTTTCGGATTAAAGGTTGCGAGAAATAAATCAAGAAACTATGAAAGATGAAACTCTAAAAAATGGGTCACAGTATTGTATGAAAGTTTGGCCAGAAAAATCTAAAGATTCCAGAAGATGTATTGCCCTACTGGTATCATAGAGTGAGCAAAATGGTATACTTCTCTTTGGAAGTCGTATTATAATACCAAATTCTCTTGGAGCTAATGTACTAAGAAGTATTCATGAAGGACATCAAGGCATAACAAAATGTAGATCTTTTGCAAAATTGACTGTGTGGTGGCCTCGTCTTTCTCAACAAATCAAAGAACTAGTAGAAAATTGCAAGATAAGTGCAGAAAATCGTGCTACGAGAGCAGAGCCGCTGATACCAACCCCTTATCCGGACAGACCTTGGCAAATAGTGGGTGCCGATTTGCTGAAGTGCAAAGGTCACTGGTATCTCTTAATCTCAGACTATTATTCCAGGTTTATGGAGATTGCTAGACTAAATGACTTAAAAATGGGCACTATTGTGACATATACAAAGTCCATCTTTGCACGTCATGGTGTACCTGAGACAGTGAGAGCAGACTGTGGTTCTCAATTTGACTGCTGTCACGTCAATTCAAACAACTTGGTCGTGATTATGGATTTAAATTGATTACATCAAGCCCAAAATTTCCACAAAGCAACGGCTTCATCGAAGTACCAATAAAAATAAAATGATGATCCCTACAAAACGCTACTTATGTTAAGAGCAACCCCTCTAGAAAATGGGAAAAGTCCAGCGGAATTACTTTTCGGGAGAAGGATCCGCACTTATGTTCCAATAATGTCTGATCAACTAAGAGCCTATCTGGTAGATGCTGAAAAGTTAAGGGAAAAGGAAGAAGCAAGAATTGATCGTCAAAAGGTTTATTTTGACAAAAGACATAGAGCCACAGAATTGCCTACTCTACCTGATGGAGCTCAAGTCCATATAAAGGACAGGAATCAAGAAGGAACTATATTAAACAAACATCCTGCACCTCAATCCTATATAATTCAAACGCAAGATGGTTGTTTGCGGAGGAACAGAAGATCACTGCAAAGATTTAGCACTACACTCTCAACCAGCACTGCAGACCAGTCCTTCAGAACACCTGAGAAGATCAGAACCTTTCGATCATCTTGCAATGGCATCGCAGACAAATCCTTTAGCGAATCTAAGAAGATCAACAAGACAATTCAAACCTAACCGGAGGTTCGATCTTTAAAGGGGAGACGTGTTGTTATTCAGATGTGTTTGAAAACATATGGTGTTAGAATATTATTTGTTTAGTTTTTGTTGGTAAACATTCTGAATCTTGATTTATTGTAAAAGTTACCTAATAAAGTATTTGTCTTATTAAAACTATATTTTAATTTAACTTTCGATAACACTACAGAATGTTTTACAAGAAACAATAACCACATTGACTAAATAATAAACAATTCAAGATTAAATTGAAAACTTCTGTTTTTTTTTCTGATTTCAAAACATAAAGATTTATTCTATACTTCTTTTTGTAAATTTACTAACATTTATATTTGGGATTTATTGTAGTGTTTAATCAATATTTTGTATGAAGTGGAATAACCTCAATAGCCACTCTAAGAAAACAATTTGGGAATAAAGATGAAATAGGTTTGAACGGGTATTTGTTCATTAAATAAGTACTATGACAAGTTCCAATGGGTGGAAAAACAATATTGATTGCAGGAGATTTTAACCAGGTACTGCCTGTCGCTCCAAGCAAAAAAGGTTAAAATAATATAGCCTACAATGCTTGGAACATCCATATGACCATATGTATCAGTAAACCCAAGAGGTAGTTTCCGTTTCTTTAAACTAACCAAAAATATGCATGTCGAAGATGCTGCTGTAAAGTAATTTTGTGAT